ATTTATATATAAGTAAATATCTTCTTCGTAAATAAATAAATATTTATATTGTATTCCAAATGGGTTGAGTGAGTTGTCCCAGACTCTTAATCAAACTCTACTTGGCCCAAAATCAGAGAAAACTTTAAAACATTCTTCTGATTGAGATCGCCGTTTCTCCGGCGACTGCTTCAAAAATGGGGGCAAGAAAGATTTTTGCTTCTGCTTCGGCTCCCATCGGAAAAGCATTATCGCCATGTTCATCTTCTTCACAATCTGCTGCTCTTACGGGTAAGACCTCTGCTTCCTCCTCTCATGCGCCTGCTACTTCCAATACCAAGTCTTTTGTTCCAAACCCACATTCCTTACACCATTTTCTCACCAAAAGACGCAAGTGTGGTGTCCTTACTCTGGATGAAGCACTGCACTTCTTCGATTACATGGTCCGCATGCACCCAACTCCTCCCATTTCATCATTCAATCATTTGTTTGGTGCACTTGCTAAGATTAAGCACCATCACCATGTCATTTCCTGTTATTCAAAATTGAATTCGATTAGCTTATTCCCTGATTTTAGAACTTTCAATATCTTGCTCAATTGCTCTTGCTATATGGGTCGGATTTCTGGTGGCTTTTTGGTGTTGGGAAAGATTTTGAGGAGCGGTTATAGCCCAGATACTGTGACTTTCAATGCTTTAATTAGGGGGTTGTGTATGAAACAGAAGATTGGCGAAGCAACTGGTTTGTTTAGAAAGATGACTGTGTTTGGCTGTCAACCAGATGTAATTACTTATGGTACCATTATTGATTGTCTCTGTAAGCATGGTATGGTTGAAAAGGCAAAACAACTTTTCTTGGAAATGAAGAATGGAGGAATTTCTCCGAATGTGAATGCTTATAATTTACTGCTTCATGGTTTTTGTTGTATGGGAAATTTGGAGGAGGCCAAAGCCTTCTTCATTGAGATGGTGGAAGTAGGAGTGCGACCTGATGTGGTAACTTTCAATGTTTTGATAGATGCAATTTGCAAACAACGGAGGTTGCAAGATGCAAATCAATTGTTAGAGTTGATGATACAAAGAGGTATTCATCCTAATATGATAACTTATACCACATTGATTGACGCATTTTGTAAAGAAGGAAGAATGGAAGAAGCAAATGCATTGTTAGACTTGATGATCCAGAGAGGTCAATTTCCTGATGTAGTTACTTATACCACAATGATTGATGCACTTTGCAAACAAGGGCAAATACAAGAAGCAATTGAATTGTTAGACTTGATGATTCAGAGAGGTGAGTATCCTAACAGTGTAACTTATACCACGTTGATTGATTCGCTTTGCAAACAAGGGATGATACAAGAAGCAATTGAATTGTTAGACTTGATGATTCAGCGGGGTCAGCATCCTAATAGAGTAACTTATAACACATTGATTGATTTACTTTGCAAACAAAGAAGGATGGAAGAAGCAAGTAAACTGGTGGATTTGATGATTCAGCAAGGTCAGCATCCTGACACTGTAACTTATACCATATTGATTCATGCTCTTTGCAAAGCAAGGAGGATGGAAGAAGCAATGGCATTGTTTGAGTTGATGATTCAGAGTGGTCAACAACCTAACACAATTACTTATAATATCATGATCAAAGGGCTTTGTAAAAATGGGCAACTGGAGAAGGCAAATGATTTCTTAAGCAAAATGGAGAAGAACGGTTGTGCTCCAAATGTGGTGACATTGAATACGCTCATTTCTTGTTTCTCCAAAAACAGTAAGGTCTCCAAAGCTGTGGAACTTCTTTGTGTAATGGCAGATAAAAATTTATGCCCTGATGCAACAACCTTTTGCATTGTCATGAATTTACTATCAAACTTGAAGGATAAAAAGCGTCAAGAAATTCTGGACTTGCTGCCAACATTTCCTGCCTGAGATCATTGAGGTAGATGACAAATCAAATAAGTAACTACATTGAATATTTGGATGCACAAAATTAGTCATCGATATCATGAATTTTTGTATCCCAGTCTGAACCATATGTGGTTATTCCTTTGGTAGAAACTAGAAAATAGAAGCAGGCTGTGATACACATTGACGATGTCAGCTTGTGTGGGAAGAAATATTGAAAGCTTGAAGTTACGACCATTTCATGACAACCAGGTGCATTAGACCTGAATATATCTGTTAATTAAATCTGTATAACATATTATTTGTTCCATAATATTAGATCTCATTTGTGCTTAGTGCTACTTTTGACATGTCCTGCACAGTGAACAAGTAATGGGCATTTTTTGTATTGTATTTGCAGAATACATTCTATTTATTAGCTGCTTATTGCACCCAATGGAAAATATATATTTATTTAATATCCAGCTCAAGGTTTTTTTTTTTTTGTAATGATTTAGTTAAAATTGAAACTCAACTCCTGAGTCTGATTTCGTTATGTGTGTGTGTGTGTGTGTCTTTGTGTCTTTATTGAATTTTTCAATTTATCCTGAGAATTTTTATTGATGCCATGATAGACTGGATAACTATGGATGGAAAACTGCTTTACTAAGATGGAATGTATTTGAAGCTTGTTTAAAAACTAGTTGTGTAGTTAAGTTGATTTTATTTTGGACATCTAATTCTAATCTCATGCTGATTCATGCTGCAGGCAACTCTTAGCAAGCCTCATGATTAAAATCGTCTTGGGATGCTGCTACAGTGCTACCTGTAATATATGGCTTCAAAGGAACATAAGGCTTTGTAATGCTTTTGCTTCAATAGAGAGAAGCTGTTATTTTGCTGTGAGAACTAAAATAGGAGAAGTTTTTTGAATGCTAGTATCAATGGACCATTATACTCGTGTTTAAATATTTTTAAGATCTGCATTGTTTCTGTTTTCTTTTTGTTTGCAGCCTCATCTGTAATACTAGTTGGCTATGGATGAATGCAAGAAAATCTGTTCCATTAACTAGAGAACCTTGGTGAACCATTTGAAGATTTCTTTTTTCCATTTTGCACTTGCAGTTTAGCTTGCTTAATCTTCTTTTGAGTAGGGACATGCATAATCATCACTCATCAGATACAAAAGTCAAGTGTTAGTAGAGAAGAAAATATAAACAGAAATACTTGAAAGGACAAAAGAATGGCATTTTAAAATAGCATCCTGCATGTATAGTTTCTTGGTTTCTATGCATGCTATCCAAGACTTCTAGCTGTCAATTTTCCTACTTAATTTGGTCTTCAAGCTACAGTTGGTTAGTTTTGATATGTAATTTCTGTCCTTTTTCTTTCCATTTCTCCTTCGATCTGATTTATGTCTTGTTTCCCACTTTTCTATAGCTCACAAGTCTTTTGATGTGAAACAACGTAAGTTACTGATTAAAGTTTGTATGGCTAGTTTGTCCAAGGCAAAATGGCAACTGAGTTGGTTCTCCATCTCTTTTGCTTCCATCAAAATGTCAATTGTTACATGAACTGTAACTCTTATCTCTGATTCGGGCTTTTAAGGAGCAATAGAGGAAAATTTCCTGTCTTTGACTGTCTTTTATTGTAATTTTCAAATTGATTTTGCAGACCCTTGTTAGGCTACGAAGTACAACACAGCTTCAGGGAACTCTATTGATGAGAATAGACAAGGAAATCTCTAGAATTCAGACCCTGTTTGGAGGTAACTTCCACTCTTTGAAAAAAAGATGGAAAGAAATTGAAGCTGTAGATCTAATTTTTTATAATTCAAGTTTTCATATTTGATTTGGAAGTATTAATTAAGTTTATATTTCTTTTGTCATAAAAGGGAGAGGGTATTGGAAAAGAGAAACTTTGGCATCTGAATAGGTCAAGGAATCATTTCCTTTAGCTTTAGTTTTCTAATTTAGGCAAGGTTTCTGATCCCTTAGCAGTTAGAGAATTACTTTGACTGCGTTGTTAATTCAGTTCAAATGTTCGGGGTTGAAGACATTTTAAGAAACAACATTGATTATTTTTTTTTTCTCATGTAATCTATATATACGTTACTCTAACATTATATTTGCGTTGAACGGAATGAAGTGAAGGAAAAATTTTCTCTTTATTTTGTATTAAAAAAAAATTGGAGGGGCGCGAAGGAAAATAATTTTCTTTTTTTTATCTTTTTCTTAATTTATTTATTTATTCAAATAAGGAAAAAAGAGAAAAGGAGAAGGGAAAGGAGGAATAATGGAGGGATAAAATTTCCTTCCTTTCCCTTCTCCTCTTCTCCCTTTAACCTAAACATACTATAAATTTCTTCTAAAGTTGTGTTATTTTTCTCATATATATTACTCACGCCCCCATTTGATGGTCATGTAATTTTATTGGATTGTGTGTAGTATTTACGTGATACGATGTAGTTATTGACGAGGGGTATTCCATTAGAAAAACTATTAGAACTTAAGAGTGCTTTTGGTTAAAGCGAACTTTTACTTTCTCAGGAAAGTGATTGATTCAAGTTTGGTATAAAAAATAATTAAATTTTATAATAAAATTTTATTAAAATTTTGTTAAATTATTAATTTTATTGTGTTTAATAAAAAATTAATATAAACAAAATATAGGTAGAGGTAAAAGAAGAAGTTTTTAAGTGAGTTTCGTGAAAACTTTTGAGAAATTTTTTCCTTTGGAAAGAGTTGAGAAGAAAAGTTTACAAATTAAAAATTATGTAGTAAAAAATTAAAAATATTATTTTTGTCATTTATTTATTATATTTTTTGAGATGCGTAAGTATAAGATGTTTTCGAGAAAAGTTTTCCAGAGTCCGGTAAGGGCTTGTTTGGTTATACCCTGATCCTAGAAAAAGAATTTGTAGAAACCGACCAAAAGAAGAGCTCAAAATGGCTTAGGAAAATAAATTTTTTAGCACAAAAATTAAGGTGTAATATAATTGATTATAATGAATTGTGCAAGTGATTATATGCGAACTTTTTTTAAGAAACTCTTTTTCCAACGTTTTTCTTTATTTATTTTTGGGTAGAAAATGATTATAATTGATTACTTTTTGAAAATTAGTTATATTGTTATAATCAATCATATATTTTTTTAATCAATCATACACCATATAATCACTTTTACAATTCATTATAATTTATTATATTTTTTAATTAACTTTTTGATATTTAAAAATTACATTGAATCTTCGATTAATTTAGAATCGAATCATGTTGGATCTCATAAGAACAATTTTTTTCAACACCCATTTCTTCGTTTGTAAAACTTAAACTTAAGATTTTATTAAAGGAGAATTAAGTTTTTTTTACTCAAACTAACAGATCATTACTTATAATTCATTATGTTGCATCTCAATTTTTGAGTAAAAAATTTATTTTCCTCAGTCAGTTGTTTTTTTAGTCAGCTATCTCAAATTCTTTCTTTTGAGATTCAAGATAACCAAATAGGAACTTAACGTATGTTTGTTTACCAATATTCCAAGAAAATAAATACATCGAAGCCGGGCAAAGAGAAATTAGCTGGCTTTGTTTCAAATTTTGAATCCAAAAATAATTTATTAAATGGAGATATAATTAATTATATTGATTATATTGTTCGGATGTTACTCTTTGGTCAAAATTCCCGAAAAAAAAACAAATCATCCTGAGTATATAACCGGTTAAAATTGATATATAATTGACTTTATTAATTTTGATCATTTATAGTTAGTTAGTTACTCATACTTTATATATAACTGATTATAATTACACTTAAATTTTTGTGTCCGAAACTTACATCCCAAGACCAAGCTAGTTATGAAAGGGTCTGTTTATTTTCCATGGACCCTAGAAAAGTACATTAAGTGTACTTAACTTAAGAAATTAAATTTTTTGACACAAAAGTCGAGTAGTAAATTTTTGTGATACCATGCAAAGCTGATTTTTAGTTAGCTTCTCCAAATCCTTTTTCTGGATTCATGGTAACTGTTTGGGCAGCTTCGCAATCCAACACTGTTGAAATCCTTAGCTGCTTCTACACCTGAAAATCCCGAGGTTGTTTCCTCGGGGAAAACACTCCGAC